TCACGAGCAAATCATTTCGAGCCTCTCCAGCAACTCGGTGCTCCTGCATGTGTATGTTTATAATAATATAATTTCATCTTATTTATCTATGTTACACATAAATGCAGTGTGGACTTATTTGCCCAGTGATATTGAAATTGCTAATGGGTTTTTGGTTCAGCTTTTATCTGATAGCAGTCGAATTTTATAAATATGCATGCTTAAGTTATATTTCTCTCAATCTATTTTACAAACTAATGCAGTTGCACCAAACATTATACAGTGTGGAGGCCAAGCAGCGAGTTCGATACTGCAGTAAGGTATGTAAACTGAATTTTAGAAATGATTTCAAAAAGATAACACTGATTTTCAATTTGATTACAGAATAATCCAACTATAACTCAAAACTACAAAACCCCGCTTGGTATTTATATCCATTTAACAGAGGAGTGTATATTTGTCGCATCGTTGTAATGCCTTGAAGAGGTATTTGTGATTTTTTGTGATAACTGAATTTTTTTGGAGCTAGGTTAAACTTTAGAGGTATTGTAAGGTATTTTTGAAATTTCATGCAAAAACATGCAAATAGCCAATTTATATTGGTTATCTACTTGACTCTCAACTTTTGCACCCTGAAGGTATACTGAAGGAGGCACCAATTCCTCAAAGCCTCAGAGGACTTCATCTATCTCTTCGGACATGAGTAGCATATGTGAATTTTTCTCATTTAGGATAACCTGCAATTTTTTTCTGTTTTTATGTCTATGTTTATGGTTCCACTATTATTCTAATTGCTGAAAATTTAGATTTTTGGTCTAGCATTCGCTTCATGAATTTTTATTAAATGCAAAATGAAAATGTAACATCTTCGTGGCTTACGGTGACTTTGTCAGCTACTTCCAAGCGCATCAACAGCTGGTCTTTCAATGAGAAAATCTTTGTGCAGTCACTTTACAAGGTAATTAACTGCACAATCAATTACCAATGGATAGCTTACGTCAATCAGATGAAGCCCATTCATTTACAAATTCTTTTTATTATCCTTCGTTTGAGTATTATCTAAATATACTTGGAAATAAATACAAATACTACCCTTGTAATTTACGAAGAGAAAGAAAGAAAAAAAATAATGGCCATGCCTTAAAATAAAAGTTAAAACATGCTTCTTATTTGAAGTATAAGGAATTTGTAAATGGTTGTAATAATTCAGGGTCATAGCTAATCATTTATTAATTTATTGTTGGATCCAACTAAGCCATAGGTAGTTTTCATACTTCATTCATGTGACATATAAGCTGCTCAAAAATAAGTTTCAACTTCTTGGTTTATCTCACATACTAGTCGCATTGTAAGCAATAGTTTCTTGATTCTTATTTGCTTATTGATTCAATATTATAACTGCAGAAACCATGAAGAAATCAAACCCCCACACATCAAATATTTTTGCTATATGACGGACAACACATAAACGTAAGATGAGGCCTTTATGGTTTTTTCAATAGTGTGACATATAAACATGTGATAGTAGTGTTGGTCTGCAATTTTTATTTTTTTTCTTATTTTTGTCAGGTTATGCATATGTAGAGTGAAGTCCTTAAATTGTTTATTTTGAGATGGGTAACCGAACAACTAAAACATTTCTCAGGTTTGTAATTTAGTATCCACTATTTGAATGCACATAGCTCTCTCTCTCTCTCTCTCTCTCTCTCTCTCTCCAAGTTTGGAAAGTTGTGTTGTATGTTAAAGCGGATGTCATCCAGTAGAGATGATTACAAGGAAAATGGTTGATTACTTAATCAATATAGAATTGCGCTTTGGTGGATTTTATAGATTTTTTTACTAGGAAAAGGTCGTGGTAGGCTTGAATTCATAAACAGGATATCTTTATTGCAAATGATATCCTTGCTCATAAAATATTTGTATATTGGTCTCACCAGGTGCTTCCTTTCCTGTTTCACCCTCAGGTTTCAAATCTCCATTTCTACTTTTTATTCTATTATCTTTTGGAGCTAAGTTTATTGGATGATGGTTGTGTCCGCTACATTTCATCAATGGTAGTTGTCTTACCCATCTTTCTTGCAAGACTAATTATGCGGCCAGAATTTCGCCCATTGGTAAGCATAGCCTCTTTTCTTCTTTGAGGGCCAACCTACAAAACTGCTAATTGATTCATTAACTAAATTATAGGCTGTAGAACAGATTGAACGATAAAAATGATGGGATGACTATAATAGTTACAAAAATCTTCATTGAAACTTAATTTATTCACATACCACCTGATTATCTTTCAAATTTCCAAAAATACCTCTTACATTTGTTTACATTCTGTTCTCCCAATTGCAGCCCTTGAGGTGAGGGGGTAATACATAAAACAATCACAAAATTCAAAGATACTTGAGGAGTCTTCTCAAACTCTTAATAAAAGAGTTGATTTTTATTTTTGCCCCTTCGGATGGATTTTTTGTCCCGTAACACGTACTGTATCAATTTGTTTTATTGTTTACTGATTATGCCTTCTAAAGTGGAATGCATGCAAAGTTACATCTCCACAGATTGACTTGATTTGTTATGTTGCCCAAATACTTTTTTCATAGACCCAAGAATTGCAAAAGCACACAGGTTACAGACCATATGAATTGAAAGAGTGTTTTCAGACTTCACAATCTATTTCTTTAAAGTGAAACATCTACACAAGCGGCCATACAGAAGATCACAAGTATCTCTTATTGGTGGTGCCATTTTTTAATGTTAAACTATGAGAAGGAATATGATCTGGAGGTTAACACTGAAATGAAGTGTCGGACCTGTAACGAAGATAACAAGATAGATGTCTGGTCATTCCCAAGCAGTTTAAAGTACAATAAAGTTAATCATCATAATCACTTTTTTTAGCAGACTTAAGAACAAGGGCCAGGATACTGGACAGATTAATGACGACAAGGGGGTGTTAGGTGCAAGTGTTTATGGTCCCAATGTTGAAGAGCTCATACCATACAAAGAAGTCCAACTGCAACCCGACATTGTTCATTTCTAAATGAAGAACACAACCTTAATAAATCCGCGATGCGCAGTAAGAGTAATACCCCTTGGGGACAAAATTACTCGAACTTGCAAATTGAGAATGAACTATGCAAACTCACTCGTCGCCCTCTTTCTGTTTTTTTCACCTAATTTGCAGATGAAGATGAATTTTTGTGGACTCACGGTTTTTTCTTTTTTTTTTAGTGATTAGTAAGTGCTATAGTTAAGTTATGTAAGCTGTTAGGGAAATGAGTGAAACCATTTGTCAGTCTCTGGTGTGTACTTTGTTTATGTTGCTTAATACTATGTGGTCATTAAATAATTACTGTGAATAGATTTTTTGTTTAATTTTCTCTAACTTATTGTGTGTCTTAATCTGCGGTTTAGGAAGTATAAACATGTCGGGAATTTATGAAAGGTTCATCAGGTTGATATCTGGCTTTGAAAAACCTTCATTGGTAAGTACAAGGTTTATTTTTACCTATATATTTATTAACATCGTTTTCAATTGATTAACCTTTGTATGTTTGCAGTGGCGATGTTATCATAGGTTTTGCCGAAACCCATGCATGTCCAATACCTTCACCTTGTACCTTTGGTCTGCACTTTGAAGACTAAAAAGGGTTGCTTTGTATGCACTTTGAAGACCAAAAGAGGGTTGCATATGATGTAGTGATGAAATATTTAGATAATAAATTGCAATTTGTTGATGGTGGGAAAGAATTTGTTCAATTGGAAGATGTTCGAAATGGAAACACTTTGGATTTTGAACGCATTTGCCTAAATGAATTCAAAGTGTTTGTGTCTTCACAAATTGGTGTTGAGAGACCTCCATAGTATCCATTTACACTACAACTGAAGAAAACACGCATTGAATGTTGTCATAATTTGTTTTTTATTTTCTAAAAAATGTATTGAATTTGGATTATTTTTGAGTAATAACGAAAAACGCAAACAAAGTGAAGGTCACTGCGCGAAACGAACAACCAAATATGTTCAAACAATGTTTGGCAATATTATGTACTCCTACACAATGAACTGCACAACAAATAAACTTGATTAACAAAATCATTATGAAAAATATGACGACTCTTTAACAAACACGAACCTTTTCTCGGTATTAAGAAAATTGGGAAAAAAATACGTAGAGCACCACAATTTCCCTAACCGCCATAGTTTTCGCTTCTCACAATAAGAGATTTGGCCACGAACTATCCGTGCTGAAAAAAGTCGTGAAAATAATTTTAGGGCATTTACAAATTGAGTGTTATCCTACTGTTTTAATGGCCATTACCACTTATCTGTTGTGCAAAAAAAGAAAAAAAAAAAGAAAATTAGGCCCAATATTAAACTCCTCTAAAAAAGTAAATTAATAGGCAAACGAAAAAGCATATGGGCCGGCTGTGCTAAGCACAGCCGGTAAGTTTCTAGTGTATGCATTCAAAGACAAAACGTGATTGGCCAACTTTGAATAGATAGTGTATTGCAAAGAATGTGGATGTTTCTGGGCCGAGCCAAAATTTTGTAGACTCGATGACCCATTATAAGACCACCGCTTGATAGCTAGTTTGGCATTAGAGAATCGAGAGTAAGTCCACATGAGGAGATATAGAAGGCAATACCATGAATTAGAGTACAAAAGTATGATGTACATAAAGAAGAAAAATATGTTGAAGAAGCTTTACTGGTGCAATAGTATTCATTCCAAGTATAACAGCAACAAAAATTACACAACATGACTTTTCACTGATAAAAATTACCTAGAATATGGGTCATGTGCTCTTACTGATTTCATCTCCTGAAAAGAAAACAAAGACACAACTTGTGTTTTCCTAATGGACACTCAATTTTCACACTTGACAAATAGCAAATTTATATAGAACAAAATAAATTTGTTCTACATACAGCTTATGTGTGGTGAAATTATGTTGATTTATATGAGACATTAATTAACTATTATTCAATGATAATTTGTGACAATCCGGCTCTGGAATCACTCTCTAGTTGTCCGATATTTTTGTTGCAGCATTCTCTTCCGTGGTCGTGTTTTGTTTCTGAAGCACAATGATCCTCAGCAGCAGCTTGATTTTTTGAATGTTGATGTTGATGATGATTGTGACACTGCGAATGTTGATGGTTGTCAGACTCTGAATGTTGATGCTCATGATGAAGATTTGTTAAGTTACTCTTTGTGCAACAACTTTGTCTATGTGTACCCAATTTTCCTCGGTAGTGATTGTGTTTCTCATGGTGATTTACCTGCCCATCCAACTGCTGTGGAGGCACACACGGTTGGCCCTTTTCTCCACAACAAGCATGGGCTGAGGATTCCTTTAAATCCTGGCTGCTGCAGCATCCCTTTGGAGAGTGGGCATGGGCATGGGCATGGGGCATTGCAACTCCCCTCAATAGCAGCATGCTGTTGAATATGACGAGCAGGCAGGTGCCCACGTCTGCGAGCACTGCAGCCCAGACGAGGGGGTGGCCGGCGGCCGCCAGCCCCACAATTGCGGCCTTTGTGGATACTGACAGGGCCACATTCTCCATGATCTTGCGGCGGACGCGTCTGGCTAGCCGTGCTGCCTTGGGGATGCGGCCGATGTCGTTAGACATGAGGACGATGTCCCCAGTTTCTGTGGCCAGCGCCGACCCCGACACACCCATCGAGATGCCCACGTTTGATGAGGCCAGTGCAGGGGCGTCGTTCGAGCCGTCGCCCACCATGGCTGTGGGCCCCACCGTCTCTTGGAGCTCCTTGATAATTCTTTCCTTGTCCTGGGGGAGGAGCTCTGCGTGGACCATCTCCAGGGCTCCTCCTAACTGGTGCGAGTGAGAAAAAATGTGATTTATTGTTTGTGATCAAATTATTCATTATAATGGAATTGGTATGATGCTTCAATTATATAATGGAATTGATATGTTTGACCTGATTTTTTGCATGGTTGGCAGCTTCATAAGAATCCCCTGTCAGCATAACAGGCTTGATGCCCATCGACTTGAGCTCCTTCAGTGCTTCTTCGGCTCCAGTTCGGCAAATGTCTGATAAACAGAATATGCCGGCTGGAGAGGAGCCCAAGAAAACGTACCCAACCGACTTTCCCTCTGTCTCGTAACCTTCAAGCTTTGGATGATCAGCACAACCCGCTCGGGAACCAATTTTCCAGTTCCCGACATATACGTCGCGATCCTCAATCCTCCCGTGTATCCCTTCCCCTGCAAAAATCTCGAAGCTCTCCACTTTCTCCGGCTCTGGGTGGACACCACGCGCCCTCGCAAATTCAACAAGGGCCGCTGCCATCGGGTGACTCGACTTGCTCTCGATGCTTGAAATCCTGAATACATATATACATTAGTTACATTATTTAGAAAAAAAAAAAACAGCGAGAAATTAAATATTATTACCAGTACAACAATGTGTGGAAGCTAAGATTATCCTGAAGTGATCTAAAATCAGCCACGAGGATGTAACCCCTTGTTATGGTGCCGGTTTTGTCAAAGGCCATGATCTTTACTCGGGCGAGGGTCTCTAGATGCTCAGCTCCTTTAACTAGGACTCCAAACCTTGCTGCTTTTGAGAGTGCACAGAACATGGCAACTGGTGTGGATAAGAGAAGGGGACATGGGCAACCGCTAACCAAAATGACTAGAGAGAGATGAAACCATTGTTTCTTATTGTGAACTGGGAATGCAACAGGGACAAGGGCCAGAGAAGCTGATATCACCACTATGGCTGCATATTAATTTGAAAAGAAAAAATACAATCCATTTTATAAGCAAATGATGTAAGGTCACCGATTATGTTTTTTTGTCGTAATTTGGTCTACAAATTTTATGTTTAAAAAGGGTGTTTGTAGCATAAATACGAACCTCAAAGTATGCATGTAATCTAAAGCATAAATGAAAAGTCCCTAGATTTAGATCCAACTGAACACTTCACATGGGTTTTATCATGCAAAAATACTTGAAAGGTTTGCTCACCAGGCGTGTAGTATTTGGCACACTTGTCTATAACTCTCTGAGTTCTCGATTTCTTGTTCTGAGCATCTTCCACAAGCTTCACCATCCTCGTCACCACACAATCTTCAGCAACCGCTGTGGTTTTAACCGTAATGTACCCTGAAAACAAACACGCGTAAAAATGTTTTTTTTTTTTTCCTTTTTCACTTTCTTAACCATCAAACACATTGTCACTAAGTTATTGATGAGTGAAAAACTTTGCACTAACTCCTTTTTACCATTGAGATTGATAGTGCTGGCCCAGACAGTGGACTCCTTTTGCTTCGAAACAGGAAATGACTCTCCTGTTAAATACTTCTCGTCAACTTCGCAATTACCATCAACAACAACTCCGTCTATAGGTATGACTTCACCGGCCTTCACGGATAAAACGGTGTTCAGTTTGACTTCATCTGCATTGACTTCTTCGCCTGTGTCGGCTAGGACCGCTCTTTGAGGAACCACGGTGGCTAATGATGACATCACTGCGGTTGCCTGAATGGAAGTATTTTTTACATGGAAAGAAAATGTAAGTTGTAATTAAAAACTACTTTACTTGATTAAATTGTAATTTTAGTCCACTACTCTAACTTTTTCGTTCTCTTCGAATTATGTTTTTTTTCGTCCCCTGCGTTTGCAAAAAGCTAGGTCACAAAAAAGTCTTTTTCATACATAAGGGACGAAGTTGGAACCTTTTTTTGCAAAACATAAAGGACTTTTTTATAGTGAAAAAGACATTTTTGTAACTTAGCTTTTGCAAATATTCGGGACAAAAAAAAAAATTAAAAAGCGCAATTCGAAGATGACAAAAAAGTTATGATAGTGAAACATTAAGGACTGAAATTACTATTTACTCTATTCAGTTATGCTGTTGTAAGGGAAGACCTTATGACTTGCTCTTGACTCTAACCACTCTGCTACTGTAAATAGGAAAACAATAGTTGCAGCTTCCCAGTAATCATGAAGGGCAACTGATCCTGAAACTGAAAAATCGAGCATGATTTTGTTACGGAATAATCTACATATAAATGATAGATATTATAAGTCGCTTGTCTTGATGAAAATGTATTACAATTAATTGACATATAATGTAATAATAATATTCATACCTGCGATCAAAACAAGAATATTGATGTCAATGGTGAGATTACGAAGTGAAGCAAAAGCCTTGAGGGTGATGGGCACAATCCCAACAGCTATTGCACCTATGGCCAGCCATCCAAGAGGGCTGTAAAAGTACTTCAAAAATGAGAGCATTAGTAATAAACCACTTATGATAGCATAGGGGCTTGGCCATTTGTTCTTATAGCTGGTTTCGCCGTATGCTCTGATGTTCGCCTCTAGTCGAGCTTGGTTCAGTGCCTTGACTGCGCCACACAACAACATTATTCAAATAATACCAAAAGCATGAAAAAGTAAGAACAATGCTATGAGTACATACTATTGTACATACAAAAAAAAAATAGGGATCCACTCTATGTGAGTGTTATGTACACATCTATGTACATTTATTATGTATTTGTAGTATTTTCTAAAAAGTAATGGTAATGCATAAAAATGAAGTCTCAACAAGCTGAGTTTACAAATGAAAAAGAAAAAAGAACAAAAATAAAATAAAAAATCCCAACAAGTTATAAGAGAATGCTACAATCCCGTTACGGGATGGTTCCGTTGTTTATGATGTCGTGGATACACACAGAGCCGGTCCTGCACGTTGTGAGGCCCTGGGCCAAACACGAAATAATGCCCATTTGTCTTCTTTTACATGTTTATTATAATTTTTATTTTTATTTTTTTTGAAAAAAATCAAGATTTAAAGTAAAATCATACATAATTCGTATGATATAAAAAATGGTTCAATAATTTTTTTTATAAAAATTGAAACCATTTATCTAATCTCAAGCGTAAAATACAACTTCATAATAAAACTAACAATAAACAAATACCATCATACATATAAGACAATGACATGCTTTTACCTTTAAATTATAATGTCACAAATAATTTCATTAAATATTAAATATATTAAATTTTCATTAAACAATGTTTAAACTTGTTGATATTATTTAAATTAATAAATCAAATGTATGCCAATAGTAAAATAATAATATGAAATCAACAAATAAATTATTATCTTTAATATTAATAAAGATATTGTAACGATTCGTAACACATTTTTTAGTAGAAATACTGAAATATATGAATTATAGATAGTTTTAATGTGTGTGGGAGATTGAGAATTATGTTTTAATAAAGAGAAAAAAAAAAGAAGAGAGTGCCATTGGGAGAAAGTGAACCGGCAATAAATGAGTATTTTCTTGTAGTTGAAAATCAAATAATAAATAAAATGCTAGTAGGAAAGGATTATATGGGCCCAATGCTAAATGGATACTAGAGTAGAATAACTTATAGAAATATTGACACTGTATATTTATTTATTTAGACAGTTTATATAATTACATTTGCTTATTATTTAGACAAAATGACTTTTTTTGTTTTCAATTATACTTTTTTATTTAG